AAGAATGGTGAAAAATGAGGGAATTGAAGTGGGCTTATATAGTGGTGAGGAAGAAGCCAGGATGTCTCCTTCACAATCTGTACGATCGGCATAGTGCGTAGGACGGCGATTCTAATTGATCTACACGCCGTTCCCTGATTGGGACCAATTTTGGTTCCAGTCGGGTACACTTTTTGGTCCAATTTTCTCTGAATTGAATTCCGTCTACACCGCTGCGATCGGAAAGTTAAACTCTATCCAACGATATAATTTTTATATTTATTTGTAACACTTTTTCCGACATCATATTTTTGGGTGGTTGACTTTGACAGAGTCAAAGTTGGTTTAATTGAATTTTATTCAAAAAGGTTCTCACATTTAATTCATATTATTTATTTCCATGATTTATTTCAAAAAAAATCATTTCAAAGTTCACATTATAAACAATTTCTTCATTTATTCTTGATTTGGGTCTGTACTCAGGTTTCCAACCAAGACCACACAAAAAGTCAACATATTGGATTTATCTCTATGAGATTTATCCAGATTGTGATAATGGATATCAAAACATATTTCGTATCAGCCCAAAGCCCAACTTAAATTTATTTTAATCAAAACAAATTTGTTTAATCGAATAATTATTTATTAATAATTTTAGGGTATGTTTTGGGGCGTTACATTTCTCCCCCCCTTAAAGGAATTTCGTCCTCGAAATTCTTCTAAAGTCCATAATTGTCATCATGACTGCGTCTCGTTCACATGGTTACATCGTTATCTTACAGATACGCATTCTCAACCATTGATATCACTAAACTCGTTCACATTCGAGAGTTTTAACAAACTTCGATTAAGCAAAGCATTCTTTGATCTTTTAGTATTGATGACTAAGTTCCTTCATAGTGTATAGTATTGCATACTTGACATATTTCTACATAACTTCGTTCGGTCACGAGTCTCGTTTGTACGTCATTGGTTAACAGAATCGATTCAAACTTTCTTCAATACCTTTAGAAGGTTTTTTTTGTACATTTGAAGGTTGTTTCAATTCATACGTTGTAACGTAATCTCTCAAGTTTTTCAAGGGGTCATTGTCTTAAAGCAATAGCCATATTGACTTTTCGTCTCTGATTTTGAACGTATTTTAGAACAACGAATCTAACTGTTCATGAGTCTCAATATATCATATCGTCAGCAGACTATAGTATTAGAGAACATGTCATTGTCAGTATGTAAATTGAATCCATCTTTGCTGTACAAATTTCGACTAAGGATACTTCCCTTTCTCTCAAAGGTCAGGTTTCAGGGCCTATATATATCACAATTGTGGAAAGAGTATCTTACATTCTCACATTATGGAAGGAACTTCTCGAACTTTTCCTTACACCATAAAATTCATTAGTCTACTTGGTAGTCATTCTCTTGGTAAAAATCCAAAGTTCATGGCTACAGCGGTAGATTCATGAAGGGAATTGGTAAGGAGAAAAATAAGGCTTACATATGGAGGAGGCAACGTTGGCCTTCAAGGAGCTGTTGCTTCAACACTCTATACCAATGGTGGTATAGTTAGAGGCTTCATACCAGGGTACATAGCAGCACGACAGGTCTACGGGCCTACGTATGGTGCAGAGTACACCGTTTCCAGCAATTACTATATGTACTTCAAAATGAATCATGTTGTAGAAGCTTTCATCATACTTCTCGGGGGAATTGATACTATGGAAGGTTTGTTCACTTTGATCTCATGGGCATCTGAAGGTTTACACAGTAAACCCATTGGTCTCTTGAACGTTGACGGTTATTTCAATAACCTAATCAAATTTTTAGATGATGCAGTGAGGCAGAACTTCATGGCTTTGAGTCAGAGGAAACTTTTCATTTCTTCTTTCTTCGTTGATGAGCTTTTAGACAAACTAGCGTTTGCTAAAGCTTTTCCGGGTCCAAGGGCTAGTTATGACGAGTTTGTAAATCCTGGAAGATTAGGCTTAGAGTTGCATTTGCAATATTACTTTATGTAATTTCAGTTGAATTTATGTTGGAATAATATTGTCCATGAACATTATGAGTTAACCATAAAATATTATTCTAAGCTGCATGGCCAGTGCAAGTGAGAAAAATATCTATTTTCAACATCAGAATGCATCATGTAAATATCAAACATTTTCTCAAGATGGGTCAAATGAAAGATTTCATTATACAATGGTTTCAACACACGTAGGTTCAAGAAAATACGAATATTCTTGAGATTCAAATCGAAAGATAATTTCTTGCTTACATAAGGTTTCTACATTATTCAATATATCCTCGAGCCCTTGTAGCACTTTAGGATATTCACAGAGTATCATCCCTGGGTTGGGTTCTTTGAATTGCTTCGTGTTTTAGAGCGTTGACTGGTTCCTGAGCGAACAGGTTGATTTTGGACAGAAGTAACTGAATATGATTCAGGGTTAGAGGGACATTCTCGTTGGAAATGTCCAGGTTTACCACAACTTAGACATAGTACGTCCTTGCGCACGCCAGCAATCTCCTTGGTGGTGTCTTTTACAAACGTTACACTTTGGATGTTCCCATACTCTCATTTTGTTCATGGATGACGTCGATTGAATTGTCATTGATTTTCCCTTTTTTGAGTGTAGGGCACTATCAATTTCTTGCAGGGGTCTCTTCCCACTTGTATTTGGTCGTTCATTTAAATTGACAACCTCAATCTTCAGACTTTCATAGTAATCACTTAGATCTTTTTCGGCTTTAGTGATTAGGTCGTATGCCTCAATGAAATCGATAGTTTGAATAGTAGATACGTGCGGCCTGAGGTCAGGTCGAAGTCTTTTGCGAAACTCCTCAATGCGGTCAACCGCTGTGCTCACAAGGGTGGGTGCAAATTGAGCGAGGTGGACAAATTTTTGTCGATATTCAGGGAGTGTCATATCTCCTTGCTTTAATTGAATAAATTCGGCACACTTCTCTTCACGGAATTGGGCTGGAATATATTCCTTCTTGAACGCCCAATCGAAGAATTCCCAAGTCCACGGTTTGGGTGTGTTTGGATTTTCGTCAGTTCGTTTTTCCATTCATAGGCTTCCTTGCGGAGCAATTGAGATGCAATTTTTGGATGATCAGCAAGAGGTCTGTTCAGATTTTGTAGTACACGAGCGGTCTGCTCGATCCATTCAAGAGCGATCTAGGGTTCAGCAATTCGATCTCCCAGGAACTCCTCAGCACCATTATCTTTCAAGGTTTTGAAAGTGATCAAACGAAGTGGTGGTGGAGGTGGTTGAAACATAGGGGCATGAGTCATTTGTTGCAAAGTTTACCATTAAGGTAGGTAGCATAGCATCAGGTTGACCTCCGACATTTTGATCATTTTGGGGAATATGCTGTGAGTTCACTTGTTCAGTTTGAATAGGAGGTGTGAAACTGGATGCTTCAGTATGAACATTTTCGTGCCCATCGCTTGGCACTTGGTTACTTTGATTGTGAGCGGTTTCTTGACTCATTCTACAACAACAGAAATTCCTCCGTTAGGATTCTTTGACTTGAATAGACGAGTTGACAACGGATATTTATTCTATCAAACTACATCGATGTTTAAGTCACTAATCGTGTCATAACAATGCGTCATCTCATTTAACAAGATTGAGCTATCCATAGCTTCTAACAAGTAGGTTCCTTTGAATTTGACCAGACAAATCGTCAATTCATAGTAAAGGGTAGCGATTCTTGATTGTCAGTTTGTCTGTCTTAACAGAGATATGATAGTATCTTTGACCGTAAGTCAATCTTAGAGAACACAATGGATTCTCTAAGCTGATCAATTAAGTCATAGATACGAGATAAAGATAACGATTTCATTTGAAGGCAATTGATATGGAGTTTAATCGATCCATCTTTGTTTGCGTACTCAATCAAGATGAACTCGGTCGGT